CATAAATGAAAAACATTAAACAACAGCTCATATCGAAAGAGCCCCTCATTGTTGAGACACGTGAAAGGATGCGAAATTGAAAAAAATCAAAGAGTCCATCCATGGGTGGGCCAGTGGGGATCTGAAAAGCGGCATGCGCAGTATTCCCTGTGGGGAGGGTTCTGACAGTGAGTCACAACTTTGACCACTTGTTATTTATCTGGATTGGACGTGTCAGACAACTTTCGTATTTCAGTGGATTTCTCTGGCAACTGTTACCTCTTGGAGTGGATCTGTCAATTCACGACTTTGACGACACGTGTTTCGGCATTGGATCACGCAACTTGCTCTGCCCAACAGAGGATAGTATGAGACTAAGCCAAGCGCCGAAGCATCCTGCTTGGTTGAAAAGGGTCTTGCAACAAGATGCATGGCAGGCAACCTATTTTTGGTGTTAAGGGAATCTATCACTACTGGACAAAACTTTATTGTAATTTTCAGGGGGCGAAAAAGGCAAATGAGCCACAATGAAAGCCCGGGTAGATGAAGGTTAGTACGGGACGATGTTGGATTGAATCGGATTTGGCTTTTGACCCATGGCCAAAGGTCCAGAAACTTTCTGTCCAAAGGCTCACATTGCAGCCAATGGCCCAAAGCGGGGTTTGGGAAACCAGCGGGAGGTCATGGCCCCCATAGGTGCGGAACAAACAAACAAAGGAAAAGGCCGAGGAATTGAAAAGAGAAGACAAACAACCACGGACAAGGCCAAAGAGCAAAAATGGGGAAACCGGAAAACACGCCACACCCGCGATATTGCCAGTAAAAGTTCTTTCAACTTGTTTTTGGAGGGGTGCAAAGACCGGCCACTAGGTCTTTGCCTTTTTTCCCGCCACCGGAGGTCTGAGTCTGGATACTTGAAATGATTACAAGGGAGATCACTGGCGGGGAGGGTTCAACAGCGGGTGACGGCAGGACCTTTCAGCCGGCACCGGCCCCGTCCTTCATGGGCGCACGTGCAGGGGCACCCAGTAGGCTTTGGGTGTTGGGCATCGCTTTTGATTGGATGTGTCTTGGTTCGTAGGTTTCTTGCAGTCTTTTACTCTCCATGTCGTTTTCTTTGCGTTCTTTGATTTGCAGTATTCAGTGTGTCTCAGGCAACTTTGCTTCGTGCTTTCACATGTCTTCTCTATGTTTTGCCATATGTATTGTTTCCAGGGTTGGTGTGCTTGATTGCTTGCTTGCTCGCTTGCGAGCTGTCTATTTGTCTATTTGTTTGTCTGTCTGTTTATCTGTCCGGTACTGTTCTGTCCTGTCCTGTCCTGTCCTGTCTGTCTGGCTGCCTGTGTCTGTCTGTTTGTCTGCTTGCCTGCCTGCCTTCCTGTCTGTCGCGGTCGGTCTCTGTGTGTCTCTGTTTGTCTGTGTCTGTCTCTCTCTGTTTCTGTCCGTCTCTGTCTGGCTCTGTTTTCTGTTTGTTTGTCCATCCGTCCGTCCGTCCGTCCGTCTCTCTGTCTCTCTGTTTGTCTGTCTTTGTTGTTTGTTTGTTTGTTTGTTTGTTGGTTGGTTGGTTTGTTTGTTTGTTTGTTTGTTTGTTTGTTTGTTTGTTGGCTTTTTGGCTTGTTTGCTGCCTGTTAGCTTGTGTGTTTGTCGTTTGTTTTGTTTGGGGCTTGGTTTAGCTCGGCTCGGCTCGGCTCGGCTCGGCTCGGCTCGGCTGGCTGGCTGGTTGCTTGGTTGGTCTATTCGTGTTTTGCCTGCTTGCTTGCCTGCTTGCCGTTTGCCGTCCGTCCGTCCGTCTGTCCATCTGCCTTTTTGTTTCTTTGTGTGCCTGTGTGCTTGCTTGGGTGGTTGGCTGGCCTGGCCTGGCCTGGTGGCCGGTTGGCCGGTTGGCCGGTTGGCCGGTTGGCCGGTTGGCCGGTGGGCCGGTGGGCCGGTTGTTTGATTATATAGTTGGCTGACTAACTGGCTGGCTGGCTGGCTGGCTGGCTGGCTGGCTGGTTGGTTGGTTGGTTGGTTGGTTGGTTGGTTGGTTGGTTTGTTGGTTGGTTGGTTGGTGTTTGGTTTAGCTTGCTTGCGAGCTTTGCTTTGCTTTGCTTCTTTGCTTTCTTGCCCTTCCTTGGCCTGTCCTTGCCCTTCCTTGCTTCCTTGCTTGCTTCTTGCTCTGCCTTGCGTCCTTGCTTACTTGCTTCCTTGTGTGCTTTCTTCCCTATTTGCTTTCTTGCTTGCTTGCTTGTTATGGTGTGTTTTCTTTTGTTTGTCTGTGTTCTGTGTTGTTTGGTTGCCATTGTTTTGTGTTGTTGTGTTGTGCTTGGGCCTGTCTGTCTCTTTGTCTGTCTGTCTGTTTGTTTGTTTGTTTGTTTGTTTGTTTGTTTGTTTGTGTCTGTTTGTTTGCTTGCTTGCTTGCTTGTTTGCTTGCTTGCTTGCTTGCTTGCTTGCTTGCTTGCTTGCTTGCTTGCTTGCTTGGCTTTGGCTTTCTTGGCCTTGCTTGCTTGCTTTTCCTTCCTTGCTTGCTTGTTTCCTTGCTTGCTTGTTTGCTTGCTTGCTTGCTTTGCTTTGCTTGCTTTGCTTTGCTTTGCCTTGCCTTGCTTTGCCTTGCTTGCTTGCTTGCTTGCTTGCCTGCCTGCCTGCCTACCTGCTTGTTTTTTGTTTGTTTGTTTGTTTGTTTGTTTTGTTTTTGTTTGTTTGTTTTATTCTTTTTTGTTTGTTTGTTGGTTTGTTGGTTGGTTGGTTGGTCGGTTGGTCGTATGCGTTTCTTGACGTTGTCCTGCTACATTTGCCTTTCCTTGGTTGACCAGAGTGTGCCAATCATGCTGCCTATTCCGAGTGGATGATGGAAACTATCACGGCACAGCAACTTGTTCACTCGCAGCAGCTATTTCACATGGTGCAGCGTGTGTTTGCGTCAGAGTTGTACATGTTAGCTTATTTTCATTGTTACTTCTTGATTTCCAAAATGCGGCAACTGGGGGGCACTCCATTAGCTTGCAACTTCGAGGATGCTTCGCCCAGCCTGTTGCTGAGCTAACACTGCTTGCGCTCTACTGCTGCAATCGGCTTGACTGTAATGGACTGTTCTCACTGATTTCCATTTCACCGAGGCTGGGTTCCAGAGGCAAGCATCCCGCGGCAATCTGGATGCGCCTGAGAAGGCGGGCTGCGGCTGACCTGGAATCGAGGAGGGCGGTGTTTCGGAGTTCAACGTCTCTAAAGGGTCCTTGGCTTCTTGGAAGTTTGTGAATTGCATTTGTTGGTACTTCATTCCCAATCATCGACGTAGCCTGTGGTTTCTCAGGCCTTTTGGCATCCGGGTGCAAGAGCCGAACACTGCCGAATACACGGTCAAGGTGCACTAACACACCGAAGCTGACCTGGTTCAACACCTTTTCCAGGAGTCAGAAGCTCCAGCAACAGCTGGCACAGGTCATCCACAGCCACAGGCGTTGCTTTCCGTTTGGCCCAACAGATGAAGTGAGGAGACATTACCTCCCCATCCGTGGATTGCCAATGAGGTGCCGAACCGATTCCAGGGACAGTCCCAGCCATAGGTGCAGGGAGTACGGGTTTGCCTTTTTGGGGCGGTTTCAAGGAAGACGCTTCCCCCCCCCCATCCGGGACTCGCCCAAATTTGGACGAGTCCCATGCGCCCGCAGCCTCTCTCAGGCGCCCAGCGAAGCAGGAGGCTTGGGAGGGGGGTTTGAGCGGGGCACATGGTTCGTCCAGTTTACCCGGTTTGGAAACTGGAAGCGCCAGGTTTGCCTCAAACCCTGAGAGAAGACAAGCACTTTGGGGAAGGTTGCAAAACAGACCCCTAGTCACCGTACTGATTCAAAGATCAGAAGTGCAGCTGGAAGATTCTCCCCAGAGCTTGGGGCGGATTTGGCCGCTTTGATCTGGGCTTGTTCAGTATAGGCCAAGTACTTCCCATTTTCACATTGCATGCTTCGCAAAGCTGCAAATGCAGATAACATGCTGCATGAGTGCGTTCAGGGCTGCATCTCTACAGGCCTTGGTTTGAGCGCTTCCTGTACACCTGACAACATGCTTTTACGGTTGCAATTTGGTGTTGGTAAGACAATCTAGCGTCATTTGACCTGTTTGTTTCCTGGTGGATGTGCAACAACATGGTGTAGAAACTAGGGCTCCCCCCAATGATTGCTTTCCTGTCAGAATCTTTGTAGAATCGTAGAAGGAACCTGTGCGGGCGGGGGGCAGTTTTGATACATGACATGCCGCATGGGCGTTTCTGCATCCCAGGGCTTCCGCAACCAGTGCATGGCGAAAGCCCCCAAGTTGGAATGAGACATGGAGCATGTCAGCCTTTGCGAAGGGATTGTAGTTTCCAGGTGATTGCTGGGCTAGGTGCCCCGGGTGTAGCTGTGGTCCATCTCGCATAAGTACATCCATGGTATGTATCAGGGTTTCCTCCGGGGTCGTGCTTGATCCGAGTCATATTACAGGGCGAGCTCCTCCTGAATCGAAGCTCACTGTTGGGATCCCTGTCAGGCCGGTGAGATCAAAGATCCCCTGGCAATTGAAAGGCAGATCCAGAATCCAGCACTTCCTCCCTGGCTGCTGGGCAAACGGGAGAACGCCAGCTCGATTGTTTGGTTCAGCCCTGACCGGCATTGAACACTTGTTTTTTAGCCGCATGTCAATGCCATGACCTGGTCCCAGTGCAACATTCAACAGATTTCACCTCCTGACCCCGGAAACATATCCCTAAAGACTGAACCTCCAAAACAAGAGTAAAGGGGTCGTTGGGGAAGAAACAAGCTCCAACTCGGGCTCATAGGTGTCCTTTGTGGTTGTTTTGGTAGAAAAATAGATGGCCCTGGTTTACCTGGTGGTTTAATCATCTACCAGGGCCATCTATTTCCCCTAAAAGGACACCTATGCTCAGGCTTGACTTTCATATTTCGGCTTGGTTGGGCAGATCTGTCCAAATCCTGAAACACCTGCCGACCAATCCATCCTCGTCAGGCGGCGGCATGCTGGGTGCCATCAGGCGGACCAGCGTAGCGATAGGCATGGGTGGCTGCTTGGCAAAGATGGCTTGGGTTGTGGGGAGGTGGGACCTGGTTGGGGCCTGTTGTCAGCCTGCCTGTTGTCAGCCTGCCAGATGAGACAAATTCCAGGCCCATGAAACATCGCACGATGTGTGGGGTATGTGCACTACTTGAGCCATACCAAGGTTGTTGCCTGAAGGACTCCACAGTTCCCGCAGTACCCCAATTTCCCGCCAGACCATCCCCAACCGAGCCTCCGATCGAGCCTTTGCCGAGGCAACCCCGCCTTTTTCGCGCGGCCCATGGCGGTGCAGGCATGCGACAGCGGGCGTCAGCGGGCGTGTGGGGTTTGGACCTTCTGGGTTTTGGGATGGGTTTACCATTCTTTCTTCTTCTTGTTTTGTTCTTTTAGACAGGATTGGTTTTCTTTTGCAGGAGGGTACTTGAAAAGGCTCCAGAGGCTCCACAGGGGCCTCTCTTTGAAAATCAAGAGCGCCCTTGTTTTAACATCCAGTGGAGGTCTGGGGTATTCACTGGCCTTCAACACGTAGCTTTTTGCAGGTCTCGTCAAGTACCCGTGCCCCCCCTCGCTTCTCCAGTTCGTGGCCTACAGATGGTCAAGCCCAAAACGGGCTCCTTCTTCTAGAGAGCAGGCGGTGAGACTGCCGTTCATTTCAGGCTGTCTGGCATTTGGCAACCCCTGCCCTAGACTTACAGATTCAATAAACAGAGAGCAGGACGCTGTGAGTGTGTGTGTGTGTGTGGGTGTTGTTCTCCTTTGTTCTCCTCCACATGCTGATTAGACATTCGAATTGGACTATGTTTGAATTATTTGCGTTTAAATGTCAACTCATTTGTAAAGAAATTTTGTCGGAATGAAAGTCCATCGCAAATGTTAATTAACATACGATACACTCTAATCCAACATTATATTAAAGAAACAGACGCTGCGATTGGATTATTTCCCTATCAAATTATGTTTGAACTCAAATTGAATTTGCAGTTTCATCCGGAAAGGAATTCCATGTAAAATCAAGTTTTGCGATATTATGCCCAGCGGGATTCTGAACAAGTAGTTCCTTATTGAGTCCCATCTAAGTCTTATTCAAAGTCAAATTTAACTTCAGAGAGCGGTCATTGGTGGAGATGTGAATTGAGTATTAAAAGCGCTACACAACACTGTTTCTGTCGGTGTTTTGTGACCATGGTAGGGCGGGGACTAGAACAAAAAGCACCTCTTTGAGACCTTTGAATTCTTGCCTTATGAAATCTGCTTATTTTACTTATCAAATTCTACTCAATCTCTAGCTGACATTAAGCAGACAGTAGCAAGGGAAAAAGACCCAAACATAATTTCTATCACAAAAACAAACATGAATATGAGAGCATAGTCTTTTTTGGGTACAAACAAGTGCACTCTCAGGGCAGAACGTGTTGTTTTTCTACCAGGGTCACTGGGCGATGTGTGCAATGGACGTTCTTTTGGGCAGATCGTTTGAGTAGCAAGCAACAAGTCACTCGGGAAGCGAGTTGTTTCCCCCTAGTCTTTCTGCCTGGGCCAGATAGATGCACCCCTTGTTGGCCACTAGTGGCTCAAGTTCGGGTGAGCCAGCCAATGGGTATGTGTCAAAGTCAGGATTCGGACACCCAGCACGGTCCTCAAGCGGGAGTTTGGTGGACAGCTGACTTTTGATTGGCATCTCAAAAGGTAGATATGGAGAACCCTGTCAAAAAGTGGATCCCAAGCATGGTGAATCCCCTCGAATTCCAGGAAACAGAAGGATCCCAGCCAGCACACGCGCCTTGCCGAAGGCCCCGCCCCTGCCCGTGCCCGTCCCGGGCGGCAGCACCCGCCGGGCCTCGTTGGCCTTTAACACGAACGCCCGGGTCCTGGTATGCACAAAACTGGATGGGCCGCGTCCTCAAAACCCGAGTAGACGAAAGTTAGTAGGGGATTGTCCCAGCTACTGTGACATGGTTCTGATACCAGGATTTGTTTTTGACTCAGTTGGGTTTGTTTGTCTTAAAAGCGGAGCCACCAACATGATTGGATGCGTATGGTGTGTGTGTGTGTGTGAGTCTCTGTAGGGTACCACCCAAAAAGGGGGGGGGTGATTTAAAGGAATACTGAAGGAGCATTTTGGGGCGTCCGCTATTCTGACACATACCCGGTTGGTTTCCGTTTTGGTTTTCCTTTAAGCACCGCGACAGGGTCTCAAGTAAGAATCACACTACACATAAGTGCAATGGCATAAGCCTTCACTTAATTGGGTCCAGTGTGGGAGTTGCAGTAATCACGGCTAGCGCTACGGCCATTACTGCGCCAAAGGCCAAGGGGCTTGGCCATGGGCATGTTCGTTTTGCGCAGTACCCCTTTTTGGCTTACTTCAAAGGGAGACCAAGGACGTTCTGGGGGCTATTAATTGCTGCGCATGCTTCCCATTCTTTATTGCTGTTCGCCAAGGGCTTGTTCCCTGTGTCTTTTGCTTTTCACACTTTTTGGGTCATTTGCGGACTCGACCCATTTTCTTCTTTTGCTCAGTCGCATGTTCCCAGCAATCCACTTGCTGATTCGATAGGCAGGGGAATGAGGGAACAACCCTATAAACCCCTATGGCTTCCTGAAATCTAAGCGCTAAACCATGTACCGCTGGTACGTGCCCCTGAACGAGCTTGTTTGAGGTGTTTTTTGGGCGCAGGGAAGGTGGGAGTTGCTTGAAAGAGTGCCTTATATCCTGGTTCCCTGCAGAAGGGAATCCCTAGATTCATTCCCAAACCCCTGGGTCACCCAAAAAACCCATCCCCGATTTGGTTTCCTGAAGGGAATCCCTAGGTTCGTTCCCAAAACCCGGAAGGGTCATTCCCAAAACCCGTCGCAGCAGCCAGTGGCCATGCGAACCTACGCACAGAACCTCTCAGGCACCGCCGCCAATAGCTCCGGAGCCGCTCACGCCGATTTTGCCGGTGTGCAATGAGGCAGAGGAGGAGCTCCTTTGCACAATTGTGGGCGGGCAAAACACGGGGCAAAAAACTCATGTACGTCAGTTGGGATGGCTGAAGGCTGCGAGTACTGGGATAAACCAACTGGTGTGAAGCGGATTGCGTCTATCCATCGGAGAGCCGTATCTTGGCTTTGGGCGAGTGCTTTGCGCGGGCCAGGTTTGTCAGTTCCAGGGTCACAGGCACTTGAGAACCCCGCAAGGCATCAGTCTTTAATAAAGGGGAGGTAAAGGGAAAATATGTTTGTTTCAAAGGGAAACAAGGCTCCAGGCGCTGAATGCGCTGATTTGCAGATTCCTCGCCAGAAAGATCCTCGCAGAATCCATTTCTTGGCCATCCAGCGGTTATTGGAGCTTTGAGGTCTTCACAGGCAACAGGTGCTCAAAGGATTCCTGCCCTTGCGGAATCCTCACATTTGGCTAGGAAGGGTCTGGAAGAAGCTTCGCATGCCGCCAAAGGTCTCTAATTCTTGATTCTTGCGCAACGGATCTTTGGACTTTCACTTTTTGCTTGAGATCATTGAGATTTTTCGGATTGACCCCACAAGTGAAAAACCACATTTGGAGGGGTCATCACAGCACCCAAGCCTTGAGCTTCGTCTTTCCCCCAAGCCTTCGGGGCGCGGATGCGCGCCAGGAGGACGGCTTCTCCGACGACTCCGACTCCGACCTGGCGCCCTCGCCCACCGGCAAGGCGCGCGTGGCGATGGTCGTGCTGAGGGCAAAGCCACACAAAGGGAAGCTGAAAACACAGGGAAAGGGCTCAAGGGGGATTTCGCCCTCAAGGGCAATGGAAGTTGTGAGGGCAACCATGGTTGTAAAGGGAGGCTGAAGGCCTGACGAAGGGCTTATTTGGGGCTTATTTGGGCTCCCTCAACTTCCCCTCTCCCCCAGCCCCCATGATGAAAGGACCGAACTTCATTTGAGCCACGTGACCAAAAATGAAGAAGAAGGGTAGTTGAGCCCCTTGTTATAAACAGGGGTGCCTGAAGGCCGCCTTGTTAATTTCTTACATGGTTCTGGGTAGACCATTTCAATACCAGGTTTTGTTTGTTTGGTCCAACCATTTGGTCCAACTTTGAGACTATCCAAGTTCAGGCGGATTGTCTTGCAGCCATAGCTCCAAGGGGGGGCCTGAGGCGCCGGGCATCCTTAGCTTGCGCTACATCCCTTTCTGAAAATACCGCGCCGCAAGGTCGTGCTGCATTGAACCTGGTGACCTAGTGGATCAAAGTGTTTTTCACAAGTAAATGGCACATTGCAATGATACGACAGGGCTGTTTCCATGGGTTGGTAAGCACTTGGATTTAATAGATCCGTCTTCCCCCTCCCCCAGAGCGCTCTTTCAGCTCCCAGAGTAGGACATATGTTGCGGCAAGTTGGGGTCCGACTTCTTCAGAGTACTCTAGTGCAGAGTGCTGGAAGCTTGAAGGCCTCTCTGGGCCGTTGCCCAGGGTGATTCCGATTCCCGAGTTCCCAGCTGATGTAAGGTTCTAGTGCAAGTGCGCGGTGATTTCGGCTGCCAGAGAGCCGTTGTGGCTGTGAGCAATTTTCCTTTGGTTGCGAGAGAAGTGGCAAGTGGTGGCACTGGGTGCGCTCAACCTGAACCATTTTGGTTGATGTGTGACCAGTTTAGTGGCAAATAGAAAGCGCGGTTCCTTTTTGTCACCCATCCCCTCGATCGGACGTCTTCGCGACTGGGCGCTGGACGAGTTATTCGAGCCGCGCCGTGCCAGGCCGAGGAGAACACGGAAACCCGGCCCGATGGCACTACTCCAGAGACGCAGGCCTGGCGGGTCGGTTTTGAGGACTGAACCGGCGCGGTCGATGTAGAGGTGAGCTGAATGTGCTTGTTGTAATTATCAGAGAACGCCTTGGTGGTTTGGATTGGTGGGGACAGGGGATTTGAAGCCCTGGCTGTTGTAGGGGGTAAATGGAAAACCACCCCCTAAACACCAAACCACCAATTCAAACCACCAAATAGAGGCTGATATCGTGTAATGTAGTATTACAAGTTGAACG